GCTTTCCCGGGTCATGAGGACATCTACCCGTCTCCCAATGGCGATGGAGGCGATGAGCACTGAGCTGGCTCTGTCTATTTTGCCGTTGAGTGGGGCCCTGCTTTTGTCTTTCTTTCCGGACTTTGACTCTGTATTGTGTTTGTTTCTTTTTCTTGTCCTGGTTGTGTGGATTGTAGACTTGGAACCATGCTTTCTTTCACCCAATGTGTGTGTTTTGTTGCCTCTATCTCTGTGCCCGTTGGACTGGTCCTTGTCCAGTCCTCTGCTATTGACTGGTCCACCATCCAGTCAACGTTCCTGACCACTGTTTCACGGTAACATCGTTCCCCTTCCCACTGCTCCATTGAGGACACTGTCTCATTTAAGTGTGTGTGTGTGTGGGGGGGGGTTTCTTTGTGTTCATTGGAACGTATAAACGTGTGCTTGGAGCCTAGTCCGCTGTCCAAATCTCGAGATTTGAGGGCTCCAAGCACTGTTGTTTGCTTGATCATATTGGCACTGTGGTTAATTGGTGAATTGAATGGCTTTCGACTCAATGCATGACAGCTTGAATATGACTAGGACAACCTATAATGATGACTGAGTTGTGCAGTAGAATTGTGTAGGGGTTCGGTCTTTTAACTGTTTGCTTACCAACTGTGACTTGGATTGATTACTTGTTTTTGACAGTCATTTATGCATCTAGTTCAGGGAATCAGAACGAGAGATAGAGCATATAGGTATCCATGTGAGACTTGAGCCTGCTCGTTTCTTTCTGGTGCGATAGTTCCCACTTCCATGATGTGCAGCATTCACGTTGTCATTAGCTAAGATGATGGAGGCATAGGATTAGCCCACGACCAAATTGACTGTCCTGGTGTGTCATACCCTTTAGTCAGCCCCTTTGAGCCGTGTGTTACCCTTTCTTTTGGTCAATATGAAAAAATCACCCTTTTGCATCTTTTAGAAGGTTCCACAGAGTGGTTTTTACATGTTTTCTGCTGCTTCTGCTAAATATAATGTGAGGATTGGAGGTAGTGCTTAAAAATGAGGCATGTGTTTGAAAAATGTGCAGAGGTGGTGGTTCTCTTAAGAAATGAAAAAATTGAATGAAAGAAAAACAAAGAAAAAAAGGAAAGCAAAAGAGAGCCACTACCAAAAATTTGAATAGTGCCCATTACGAAGTGTTTCTTAGCAGTCTGGCTTGGGAATGCTGACATTTTTATAACCTCCTTCACTCGTGTGCTCTAGAAAATTTGAGTAATGCAGAATGGCAGAAAGGAAATATTGGTTTGATTGACTGTGAGTTTGTTGGGTTTGGAAATGTGGAACCTTTTGCTATGAATACTTCCACCACCTAAAAGGCCTTTTCCCCATGTCCAAGACCCTAGCCAGTCATCTGAACCTGTGTCTAAGACCTCCAGATTAGTTAGTGGTGACATCCCATATGTGAACTCTAGCATTTAGAGGCTGCATTCATGGTGAAGAGACGTTAGGGATTGAGAGAATGAGCATGCACATTTTTCGCATCAAATTGTCCTGAACCCACTGGTCGAGAGTGAGCGATTCATTTTCTCATATTTTCTATACTCTTTATCCCGGTGAGGACCTAGATTGCTCGGTCTTGATTCTGATATCTTGAGTTTTGTGCATGAGGTGACTGTCTTGAGTAAGTGGATGAGTCAAGTCTAGGTTGGTTGGTGAACAGAAGGGAGACACCTCCTTTACTCGAATTTGCTGCACTAGAATGTCCACTGTGGTGGTTGTCCAGGTTGCGGTTGAAGTTGTTCATGTGTTGATGTTTGAAATCCGGTGTGATTCCCATGTTTCGTGCATATGTGATATGTCCTCGAGTGGTTCATGATTGAGATTTTTCGAGCTTACCTTGTATTTGACTTGGTTTGCTTAGGGACAAGCAAACGGTTAAGTGTGGGGGAATTTGATAGCGTCGTATTTGCACATGTTTTCACTCCTGTTTCCTGACCATTTTGGGCTCGAATTGATTGTCCCTTGGCCTATTTTACGCTAGGTTGTGTTGTTTTGTCGTATTTCAGGTTCTAGCAAGTAAAGAGGTGCATAGGTGCAAGTTTCGGGTCATTTGTAGGTCAGCTGGCGATTCACAGAGCAAATTACGGGCAGCCCCTGCCAAATTACGGGCGTAATTGGTCCAGGCATGCCCGTAAAAGCAATGCCGAGCCTAATTTCCCCAGAATTCCTCTCGACGGTAAAATTACGGGCGAGTCTCCCACAAATTACGACCGTAATTAAGCAAATACTGGCGGTAATTTGGAAATTACGGGCGTAATTCCACCCCCATAAGAGTAAAGTGAAACGCGCGTTTTGGGCGATTTACGGGCAGACCGTGATTACGACCGTAATTCTGCCCGTATTTCGCCCATAATCGGGTTTTTAGGCAGATTTCAGCCAAAACAGAAGGGGATTCGAGTTTTAGAGAGACAGAGCGATTCCTAGAGAGAGAAAGCGATGAACAAGAGTTCCCAAGTGCCCTAGCTTGATCTTTATCACCATTGGAGCTTGGCTTGAGCTTGGAGGAGTGCCGATTGTCAACCAGGAGCAGAAATCCATCCTTCACAATATGATTTCCGCGTATGAATCTGCTTTTGCTTCTTTCTCCATGGAGTAGTTCTCCCATTCATCTGGGTATGGGAAACCCTAGATTTGTATGTTAGGTTTGATTGTATGAACCCAAGTACTGATTCTATGATTTGATTATATTCAATTGAGGTTTAAATGATTGAATGGCATGAATCCTGATCAAATTCCTGTTGTTTCTGCTTTAACCTAGAATGAGAATATCTGCATAGGTTGATAGAGCATCCTTGATTGAAGGTAGGGAGTTGGTGACTTTAGTCGAGGAGCCAACTCACTATTCTGTACCGAATTCACTTCGGTAGTGGAGGTTTTGTTCGTTAGGGCCTCAATCTGTTTACTCCGGTGGAGGTTAGTCGCGCGCTAGAGACTCAGATTGAGAGGGTCTGGAGACCTTTAGTCGAGACTTCAGACTGCTTAAGAACCTTCCGCAGTATAACTATCATAGAAACTGAACTTGGTAATTGCAATCCGGCTTAACTGCAGTCTAGGGGGAACAATATCCGGGTGACCTCTCTTAACCTGAAAACAACCGTTTAGTTGCTTTGCTTGTTTGTTAGTTTAGACTTGCACTAAAGTTTCATTGCTAGATAACAAGAATTCACCGAGTAGTCATCAAATCTAGGACCCGGGTTGACATTAAAACCACAACCCGCTTTACTACGCTTTAGGAAGTGGGTTCACTTGGCCATTTTCTAGAGTGACAGTAAGAGTGAGTCATCATCCCTCTTCGCTCCTTCTGTGACCTCTCTAGATATAGAGTAGTTTCGGATGGTTTTTTGATGGTTTGGAGCAAATTGGTGGTGGTTATCGGTGAGTAGTTGTCGGTGATGGGGCTGTTCTTCGTTTTCCCTTGATCTAGTTCCGTTGTTCGTGTGCTTCAATAGCCGTGGGCATCACCCACACAAGATCGATGATTCCTAGGAAGTCGTGAGAGTTCACCACACACGCTCACCACCTATTATGGTGAATTGTAACCCACGAGGGGTAGGTCTCTTTCTTCCAAATCCAAACTGCCACATTTTATGTTTCAATTTCACATTCCTTGTCTCTGTTCTTTGTGCTCTCTATATTTTTATCACTTGGTGCTTCAATTGGATTTTTAGATCTTCTTTTTAGCGATTGGTTGCCAATTTGGTCACTCTATGGTTTGATCTGGTGGTTGGCTGTGGGCCTTCCACCGGAGCCATCAACATCAGGGAATTGCTGGTCATTCACACCTGTGCTGGTGGTGACTGCGGGCCTTCCGTCGGGGCATCTCTTCTCCCCACGTTCACACCCAACGAGGATACATGGGATTTGAGAGTATGTTCTTCACTTAGCGTTTGTTCGGTCTCCAAGGGCGACTTCCAACTTGGGAGACCAGGTCTTTTGCTGTGTTTGTTTTGTACTGTGGATGTCTTTTTTCTACAGGTAGTCTAATTGCTGTGGCGGCTTTGGATAATAGGGTTATGGCTATGTTGGGTTGGTATTCCCGGATTATCATTTGGATCTTTGGAAGGCTGCAACAACACGAGATGCCACGGTTGTCTTTGCTAAATGCATGGGTTAGGTTGTTCGAGTTGTTAATGCGAGTGCCTTAGGTTTGTACTTTTTTGGGTTTAGACTTTAGAGGCTAGCGTTTCATGGTTTGATGGTTGTATTGGTAACAGAGCAACTCATTTGGTGGCAACTCTTGCTCTGTTTTGGTCGCCTCGAATGTTTGAGTTTCGATTTTGTTACTTATTTCGTAGTAGGCATATTGATCTTTGTATGTTGCTCTTCTTTTAGAGTGATCTAATGAAAAAATGGTAATGTCTATTTTTTATTCAAATCTTTTTCAGATTCTTTTATATTATCCAAACCTATCAAAATACTAAGAATTAGCCAAATGTTAACTTCCAATTAGTAATTTTGTTAGTAATATTAACTTGACAACATGATACTCACTTGGAAGAGACTCATGATAGTGAATATACCAAAGTTTTAATATTTTAACTAAGAAAAGAGTTATAAAATTATTAACGATAACGTAAAAATGACTAATATTTTAATAAATTATGAAAGATTTGGATAATTAATAAAATTTTAATAGATTTGGATAATATAAAAGATGGTTAATTACATGGTTGGTCACTAAGATTGCAAAAAATGTTCAAGTTTGGTCACTCGAAATATTTAAATCCATTGGTGGTACTTTAGTTTACTGAAACCGTTCACGTTTGGTCACTCTCCGCCCAACTCCGTTAACTTTGGCTGATGTGGTTGTCAACCCTCAAAGTTGACCGTTAATTTAGTGACGTGACAATTAAAAAATAATAAATAAAATAAAATTTAATTCATTTTAATGTCCAACTCATTTTTACCATAAAAAATAAATAAATAAAATAAAAAATTATTATAATTATCAAATTGAAAGGGGCTCCGAAACCTCACCATCTCCTGCTGCTTGCCGCGCGACAACAACCATGGAGGAGCTCCTGCTCACGATCGTAGACGAGTTCTGACGCTCGTACACAAAATCTCCCGCCGTCGACACGGACCGGGGAGGAATATTGGTGTAGAGAGACGACACGTGCTGACTCAGCCATTCCTCCCCCGTCCGTGTTGATGGCGGGAGATTTTGCGTCTGTGCGTCTGAACTCGTTGGCCATCGTGAGCAGGAGCTCCCCCATGGTTGTCGCTGGCGGCAAGCAGAGGAGATGGTGAGGTTTGGGAGCCCCTTTCAATTTTATAATTATAATAATTTTTTGTTTTATTTATTTATTTTATGGTAAAAATGAGTTGGACATTAAAATAGATTAAATTATTTTTTATTTTTTATTTTTTATTTACCACGTCACTAAGTTAACAGTCAACTTTGAGGGTTGACTGCCACATCAGTCAAAGTTAATAGAGTTGGACGGAGAGTGACAAAACGTAAACGATTTCAGTAAACTGAAGTACCACCAATCGATTTAAATATTTCGAGTGATCAAACTTGAACGTTTTTTGTAATCTCAGTGACCAACCATGCAATTAACTCGTATAAAAGAATATGAAAAAGATTTGACAAAAAACAGCCATTACCAAATAAATCCAATTCCCAACAAGAAAAAAGAAAAATGGAAGAAGTACATCCCAATTCCACTGATGCACTTTACCACGTCAGCGATCCATGTCTAAACAAACTCGTATATGAATCGTCGATCAGGCACCATCAACGACGGAAACAGCATCTCGCAACCAGCAACCCGGATCGATGCTCTTTCCACAAACCCATTTCCATCTCGATAAATACCTTGACCCACAGATTTCCTCAGCTCACTCTCACATCTTCCATCATCACGCTCTACTAGTACGAAACTCAAATCGTTCTCATTTTCCCTCAGATCTAGTATTTCCGCTCTCGCTCCATCTCCGAAGCAAAAATGTCTGGGCGCGGCAAGGGAGGCAAGGGGCTCGGAAAGGGAGGAGCCAAGCGTCATCGCAAGGTGCTCCGCGATAACATCCAGGGTATCACCAAGCCGGCCATTCGCCGTCTTGCTCGCAGGGGCGGAGTGAAGCGTATCAGTGGGCTGATCTACGAGGAGACTCGCGGCGTTCTTAAGATCTTCTTGGAGAACGTCATCCGCGACGCCGTCACCTACACGGAGCACGCCCGGCGTAAGACAGTGACCGCGATGGATGTGGTTTATGCTCTGAAGAGGCAAGGAAGGACTCTCTATGGGTTTGGAGGCTAGAAGGATATATTGCCGATGGAGGAGAATGGACGGCCGGTCGGACAAGTCTTGCTGTCAAGAAAAGAAAAGAACGAAGGTGTATTTTGGTGATGGAGGCGGCGGCGATGCTTTGTCTAGCCTAGGGTTCCCTTATGTTTGTGCCTGTGTTTTTTCCACTCCAGTTCTCTACTATGTAATTAGGGTTTCAGCGATTGCCTGTAAGCATTAATTGATTGTAGTTCATACTTGCTTTGAATTGCAATTTTATAACAATTTAGGATTTGCTGAACTTGCGTTCTTCCTTACCTGCACTTAAGATTAGACTCGTGATTGCATAGTTTACCCATCTGCATCCGGAGATCTTCCATGATGTTCTTCGGCCATCTTATGTTAGTTGGTGTATCTTACAAATCTGGTTGTGTTTTGTTATGGCAGATTTCTTACTTGTGTAACCTAGAGTAGATGAACTGCACTAGTGGCTGACCATAGTCTTCATAGATGATTGTGGTGCTAATGTTAGTTGCTATGTGCAATTCCCCTACTGTAAATGCAGCTATGCTATCTGGCAATTAGACAAGTTCATTTCGTTAGAGCTCTATGAATTTTCTTATTCGCCTTCCATTCATTCCGCATACTCTCTGTCGATAAGCTGATGGGATGAATTTCTGATAGGAGCTTTGATGTTCGTCCGGAAGAACTTGCTGAAAACTCCGTATTCTGATAACTGAATTCACAGGCGTAGTTGTAGAACTTGCCCGAGCTCCCTTGTCCGGAAATGTGACGCCCAGATCAACTATTTTTTTTTTTTTGTAAAGAACGATAGAGTATATAGATACAATAACTGCATTATTCTGGTCTGGCTTCCTTGGTATCACTGGCTCAGTTTTCAGGTAAGAACCAGTTATCCAGCGTGTAGTTACCACTTTCTTTTCTTATCTCTCAATTGTACAATAGTTCTGCCGAGAAGCAAGCTAGTAGACTGGTATGGAGCCTGGTAAACTGTCTTGAGGCTCACGTGCAAGAGTCATTGATGCTTGTGGAAGTAATGAGTTCTGCATTAGTATGGTCTCATGCTGCCAACCATAGTTACACTTATTCAGAGATATTTCTAGGTGTTCAGCCTCTTAATCTTCTTCCTTTCTCCTCTGCTTGCTAGTTACTGCTGTTTATTGCACATATTAGAGGCATGTGAACAAGAGCCAATGTTGATGACCTTCTAAAGTCGTAGTTCTTAAAAAGTTATGTGTAATAAAAGAAAACTTTATGACATTCGGATTGAGGATCACAAAGTTATGATCTTCTAAAGTTTGACAAAATCGAAAAATTGCTCGTTCGGGGTAGCAACGACATTTTTTTGGTATGAAGGCAAGTTGCAGATTAGAAGATCTTGAAAAGTTATGTGGAATAAAAAAAAATTCCGCCGCGATCGGATAACCAAGCGCAAAGTTACGTTTGTTTGAAGTTTCAACCTTGGGTCAGACTTTCACCGCGACCGACAACTGCGATGATGCATTCACTGCTTTCGTCTGCCGCAGTGATGTCCAAACATGTGTAGATTGTGAATTTTTTCATAAAGCGTGTGTATTTTGGATTTTTTTAAAAAAACATGTGTATTTTGGTTTTGATGTATTTTTTTTTATGAAGGTGAGAATAAGATTAACCGAAAGGGAATATACAGAAGAGTCCAAGGTTCAACAGAACTGAACCTGAGGGAACAAAATGCAGACGACGAGGCTAGAAAGAAAGACGCAAGCCAAACAAACAAAAACAAAACTAGATTTCTATTTGACGCCCTAGCTTTTTAAATTTATCGCCCTAAGCCCTACTCAAACGACCTTTTTGCCCCTTGGCCCTAACAAAACCCAAAACGTATCTTTCCCCAGTCGAACTCCCCTCCCTTCCCCCCGACTCCTCAGCCATCGCCGAGCTAGCTAACGCCCTAAACAAATCCCCCACCCAAAACTACACCCGCCGCTACTTTTATGTTGCAGAACAATAAACCCTCACCCCTCAACCAATCATCATCGTCAATCACCCACCAAACCGGACACCCGCAGTCGAGTCAAGGAGGAAGACGAGCGTTGGCGTTGCTGCCCTGCTGCCAGTGGCGGAGGGAGGTAAGGAGGAGAGGGGTCCTAGGACCCCACTTGGCAAATAATTGGGCAACAAAACCCTTTAAATACATAGGTTTTAGTACGATAATTCAAGTTTAGGACCCCATACTCTCAACAATGTTAGCTCACCAAGGACTCAGGTTAACTCAAAATTCATTAGGTACGCAAGCATTTATGTTAGTAAAAATTTAAGGACCCCAGTGAACTCGATGTCTGGCTACGCCACTGCCTGCTGCTGCTGAGTCAACTAGGAAGGATAATCCACATCCTTTGCCGCCCAACTCCATCGGATCCTTCATTGATCACCAAAATAGGGAAAAAGGATTAATTACAATTAATTAAGCATAATTAATGTGACAATTAGTAACTGTTATTACCTTGTTAATTATGATGGTGGTGGACAGTGGCGTAGCCAGACATCGAGTCAAGTGGGGTCCTTAAATTTTTACTAACATAAATGCTTGCGTACCTAATGAATTTTGAGTTAACCGGGGTCCTTGGTGAGCTAACATCGTTGAGAGTATGGGGTCCTAAACTTGAATTATCATACTAAAACCTATGTATTTAAAGGGGTTTGTTGCCCAATTATTTGCCAAGTGGGGTCCTAGGAACCCTCTCCTCCTTACCTCCCTCCGCCACTAGTGGTGGTGGTGGTGGTGCGGAAGCGGCGGAGTGGTGAAGGCGGGAGGAGGCGGAGGACCTCTGTTGGCGGCCAGCACCGGCGGATGAAGAATCAATTAATGGGGGGAATTGAAGGGGAGTGGATTGGGGATTTCCGGTGAGCTTGTCGGAGATTATGACGACTCCATTATCTGCCCGGCGAGCAGGGTAGGTGGCCACATGAATTTTTTTGAACCACCACATAAGAAGGGTATGAATGTGATTTCACTAGTAGTTAGGACGATTTTTTTTTAATTCTTAGGGCGGTGAATAGTACTTCTCAAACAAAAAAGAGAAGAAGAAGGCTCTAGGAGACAGGAGAGCCATGGGGAAAAACAAGAGAGGGAACTCCCTGCGAACCGTCCAGCGTGAAGTAGGAGAGCAACCCCAACCAAACACGAAAGCAACAGAGGAAAACATGCCTAAACAAAATTTCTATCCATCCAAGATAAGCAGTCCTGCTTTTCGGCTTTTCCATGAGCTACGATCCATTCAATCACCATGTGAGAGATCTTGCGATCAATGGCTAAACTGGTGGCAACTGAGTCTTGAAAGATTCTTCGGTTCCGCTCCAACAAAGACACCAACAGATAGCATGCAAGCTGCAGTAAACGAAACAACCTGTGACATCATCAGGATGAGCATTAGGCCAGTTCCGTATAGTATCAATGATTCCTTGTCTTGGTCTGCAGGGCTGGAAACGTTGTTAATACCCTCAATGAATTGAAGATAGGAAATAAAATTGTTCTTTTCTCTCAAAGCCCCACCCCTAAGATTAAAATTGAACTCAAGAACCCAATGAGGGGACTCACCAGTGATATTGATTAAGTCGGCGATAGAAGCCTTAGGGTCAGAAGTAGCAGCAACAACGCGAGGGAAGACGTTGGCGAGTATAACACCTGGTGCCCATCAATTTTTATCATGGTGCTTCTAATTAAATTTGTGGGGTGGGGGGGGGGGGGGGGGTAATAGATATTCTAATATTAGTTTTAAATATTTATTATTATATTATAGTATATTTATGATTTTTCTTAATATTTGTATAATTTTTTTACTAATTTATCTATTTTATTGAAAAATTTTGATTAGTCATTCTAGTAATAATATGCTTAGAAGGTTTTCTAATTTTTATATTAGATAAAACTTGTTGAAATATAGTTTTGAATGTTTTTAAAAGTTTTTGGTACAAAAAAGTAATTAAAAGTTTGTGGTGATTTTGCAATAAGAAGAAAAACAATTCTAAAAATACCACCCATTTCCGAAATTTTCAAAAAATACCACCATTGCCCAAAAATCGCCACCTGAGGGTGTGATTTTCGTTGTAAACCACATAGGTGGGGGAGGTTTTGGTGACCGCATGGGGTCGGGGCGGTTTGGTCCAAAACCGCTGCCCTACCCAGCGGTTTGTCCAAATTAGTTTTTTTTTCGATAAACTCTAACCTAGGTGGAAACTTCAAATGAACGTACCTTTATGCTCGGGTATCCGATCGTAGCGATTTTTTTATTCTGCATAATTTTTCGAGATCTTGCATACCTCAAACAGCCGTAGGCGGTGTGGTCCCGCCTTTGTCCCGAAAAATTGTCGTTTGCTACCTAGAATGAGCTTTTTCCCCGATTTTGCCAAACTTTGGACGGTCATAACTTTGTGCTCCGCGCCCCAAATGTCATGATTTTTTTTTATATCGCATAACTTTTGAAAGACTACAACTTTTATTTGGAAGGAATTTTCAAAACAAGAATTATTTTTGGATAATACGGGATTTTGGCATAACATTACCTTCACTTTTCACAAATCCACGTACATTCCGAAATTATGGCTATGATAAAAATTGTAGTCCTTCAAAAGTTATATGAAAAAAAATTTCATGACGTTCAGAGTGCGGAGCACAAAGTTATGACCGTCCAAAGTTTGGCGAAATTGGAAAAAAGCTCGTCGGGGTAGCAAATGACTTTTTTTCGGGACGAAAGTGGGACCAAACCGCATACGGCTGTTTGAAGCTTGCAAGATCTTGAAAAGTTATGCGGAATAAAAAAAATCGCTACGCTCGGATACCCGAGCACAAAGATACGTTCGTTTGAAGTTTCCACCTAGGTTAGAGTTCATAAAAAAAAAAAAATTGGACAAACCACTAGGTGGGGCGGCGGTTTTGGACCAAACCGTCCCGACCATATGCGGTCACCAAAACCGCTCACCACCATGCGGTTTACAGCGACAACCGCGCCCTCGGGTGACGGTTTTTGGGAAATGGTATTTTTTTAAAAATTTCGGAAATGGGTGGTATTTTTTTTTTCTTTTTAGTTGTATTTCTGGATAAAGTCCAAAGTTTGGGTTGGATGGAAAAATAAACAGATGCACATTTTGATAATTTTAATGGTATCCGACGCCCTATTCAAATTTAAGTGGCATGTGTGCACAATTCTCAAATTTAAGTGGTATCAAGGTATTTAAAAAAAAGTATATAATTATCCTCAATTACAAATGATTACTTTCAATTTAGTGATTATATAATTTCTGTAAAAAAGGAAAATCAATAATTATAAGTACCAAGTTACCAACAGAGATAAAATATATGGAGAATCAGATAGCAGGCAAAGGCAGTTAATCAGAGTTCTCCTTCTCTCCGCTCCGCCCTTCTCTTTCCCCTGGCATATATTTCATTCCGCAATCCCTAACCTGTAACGGCGGGCGTAACGTTTTCTTTCTCATCGTCGCTTTCCAGTTATTGAGCATATCAAGCACCAAACCTAACTACGTTGGAGAAACAAATCCTTCATTGGGTTTGTTCCAAGACTCATGGAAGGTAAGTAATACTTCTCTTCTCTTTTAATCGTTTTTTTTTCTATCTCTGCTTTGTTTTGGTTTCTCGGTATTCAATTATTCATTCGCTCGAACTCGGTCTCTTCTTCGGAAAGTAAAAAAAGGGCGCAGCAATGGCGAGACCCAAGGAATCGACAGATTGAGCAACCTCCCCGATCATATTCTAAGCAGCATCCTCTCCTTCCTCAACGCCAACGACGCAGTTCGAAGCAGCATTTTGTCGAACAGGTGGAGAGTACTGTGGAAGACCGTCCCCGTTCTCGATTTCGACGGGGACTTGTTCAAAACCGAGCATAAGTTTAGCGAATGCGTGGGTAAAGTTCTGGCTCTCCGTAACCACGATTGCAATCTCCGTAGCCTTGGCTTCAATTTTGGGGATCATGCATGGGAACGGCAGCCAAATGGAGAGCTACTGTTTGGCTTCAATTTTGGGGACCATGTAAGGGACCGGGCTAATGGGGAGGAGCTGTTCAATCAAGTTATGGTATATGCAGCTTCCCATGGTCTTCAACAACTCTCTGTTCGCTGCGTCCTTGGGACCGAAGTTTCCAATGGAACCTTCGATAGTCTCGTGGGTTTGGTCTCATATTGCAATCAGTCTCTTGAAACTCTGGAGTTTCTGAGATTCCATCTCACTAGTGCTGCTTACAGTTTGTGGCCCAGATTCAAGATGCTCACCACTTTGAATCTGGCATTCTGTTACCTCCATGACCCTGGTTCGGAGAACTCCGTGGATCCCTTTGCTAAATTCCCCTGCTTGAAGAATCTAAGATTGGTCTGCTGCAGTCCTCGTGCTAAAGTTGGTCCAGTGAGTTTGAAAATCTCTGGTCTCCAACTACTGAAATTGGAAATGGTGGATCTTGTATTTTTCCATGGGATTGAGGTTACTGCTCCAAAGCTGGAATCTTTTGGCTGTTGGGGCGATGTTCTGCTTCAAGAAGTTCCCAGGCTGAACATTTGTTCCATTGATCGTGCATATATTCGCGTGGCGCGATATGAGCAAACTGCCTTGCAGCCTCTAGCTAAGCAGTACATGGAGTTGTTCAGAGCTCTGTACAATACAAAGTCCCTCACCATATATTTTGATGCTATTAAGGTACGTTTCTCCTTGAGGCTATATTATTTAAAAGATTAAGTAACGGTCGTTGATTAAATGTTTACATGTTAGGAGCTTGTGTTGGTGGCAGTAATATGGATTTGTTCTATCTACAGATACTCAGCGAGACTCGTGATTTGCTGGAAAGTGAGCTTTCACCCTTTACCAGATTGATGTCATTGAATGTGCTCTACTCGGAACAACCATTGAAAATACCTTCCCGAGTGATGCTTTACTTCATGGGAGGATCTTCGGATGTGGAAGTGGAAGAGAGGATTAAGTTCCATAAGGTAAAGCATTAAATTCAATTCCTTTCTGTCTAGTGAAATGAATTGAACTGAATTGGGATGAGATACGGAGAACATGAGCAGATAAACATTTGTGTAGGATTAGCAAAAATATTTCGAGATTAATCGTGCTTGTATTATGATCTTTGATGCAGGTGGCACCTCCAGCTTTCCCGTATAGTTAGAATTGTTGTCGCACCCGAAGCTATGCTATCTGGCAATCAGGAACATTTCATTGGTGCTGTATGTGCTCCTTATAGTGCTGAATGTCTTCACAAGTGAAATTTGAGCAGGGAGGAATGCCATATCTCATCGCATGGTCATAGGTTCTCTTCTTTACACCAAAAACGTGACCACCAGATGATGAATACCTTTACCTAGATGGCTGTCAGTTTGTGGGTAAGAACCAGGGATTAGCCAGCACTGCAGTATCGAAGAAGCTGCAGTAGTGCCGCTGAGAAGTCAAGTAGAGTATTATAGATTCTTGTGAATTGTTTTCCAAGTCGTATGCATGATTCATTCATGGTTGTGGAGACGATGAATTCAGCATTACTATGGTCTTATGCATGTAACGGAGTTACCAATTCATACAAAGGAGAAAAGAGATTTGTAGATGGTTTCTTGTATTAAGCTTCCTTGTTGATGGAGATGTGTTGCAGCTGTTCATCCCCTAGAGTGAGGTGGAAGTGGAACTCCATAACCAAAGACGGGAAATAAGATGAAGGCTGAAAGCACTTCTTAATAGTTGGCTAAGGATTCACTTCTTAATAGTTGGCTAAGGATTCGTTCAGCCCCGTAAGGAAATCATTTTTTTTTTTACAATATAAGAAAATCATTTCAAGATTTGATCCAACATCTTTAGGACTTTGTTATGGTAACTTGCAAGTCATTATGATTTGGACAAAACGGTCACCCTCTCCACTAATATAGTTGATCTATTTGGACAAAATGGTCGACCTCTTTGCTGTATGCTAGAATGGTCTACCAGATGTATTATTTTCTATTTTTCTATACTCAACAACCGGTCGACCTCTTCCACTAAAAGGTAAATCACTTTACAAAAATTGGTCTACCACTTCCATAAAGTGGTCTACCTCTTTCACCAAGCGGTCAACCGCTTTCAATAACTGATTGACCCGATGAACCATTGCTAGTGATATAAGCATAAATAATTAGAATCCAATAATAATAGATATGCTTGCTAGTAAGAGATTTAAAATTAGTACAAAAGCTGCAAGTATAGATAACAAGTTTCTCGAGTGATTGTTCTCCCTTAGATTTGGAAAATGTTTTGCATATTTATTTCTTATATTTGACTTACTCTATAGAGACTTTCATCTTTCCTTCAATTTCTTAGTTTGCTTGTTTTTTATCCTATTATTGTCTTGTGAACGGTTGTCTCAAGTGGTAGACCATTTTTTTTGGATAAGTCGACCACTTGGTGGAAGAGATCGACCACTTGAAGGCAAGTCGTAAGTGTGTCTTCAGGTCGACCCATTTTCGGAAGCGGTAATCCAGTTGACTCAAGTGGTGGACCACTTGGTGGGAGTGGTACATCATTTTCTTGGAAAGTGATTGACCATTTGGTGGAAGAGGTCGACCATTTAAAGGTAAGTGTGTCATTAGGTCGACCTATTTCCGAAAGCGGTAGACCGGTTGACTCAAGTGGTAGACTACGTGGTGGAAGATGTTGACCATTTTCTTGAAAGTGGTCAACCACTTAATAGAAGATGTCGACCGTTTTCTCTAAATTAGGATGACTTACAAGTCACCATAGACATACTTTAATAAGTTTGATGAATGCGGAAAATAAAGGAGACACGATGTTTACGTGGTATCCTCGTTCAACATGAACGAGACTAATCCACGGAGAGCAGAGCTCTCAGTTTAGGGTTTTCACTAGCTGTGTTCTTGGCAAGGTACAGACTGCGCAAGACTCTTATTAGAGCTAGGGCAGTCGAGAAAGCAAAATACTTATACCCTTCGACGTAAGCTGCGGGTATAAGGCAAAAGTTCACAAAGGCAACAAATAAAAATAACAATTACAAATGAGTCCCTCTAATACTCCCCCTCAAGCTAGAGCATGAAGGCCACGAATGCCCAGCTTGGATAAGAGCAATCGAAACTGATCTGTGCCCAAAGCTTTAGTGAATACATCGGCCAGCTGCAAATGAGTCTCGATCTTGCGTGGAGCAATCTCACGAGAAGTGACCCGTTCGCGGACAAAATAGAAATCCATTTCAACGTGTTTCGTCCGCTCATGGAAAACAGGATTAGCTGCGATATGGAGAGCCGCCTGATTATCACAATGGATAATAGTCGGACCTGCTTGAGGAACCTGGAGCTCGCAAAGGAGAAAACGGAGCCAGATGACTTCACTCATGGTACTGGCCACGGCACGATACTCGGCCTCAGCAGAGGGGCGAGAGACAACGCGCTGTTTCTTGGCGCGCCATGATACCGGTGCTCCACCAAGATGAATATAATACCCAGTAGTCGAACGTCTGCTGAATTGACAGCCAGCCCAGTCTGCATCACAGTAAGCAGTCAACTCCAGATCACCAGCGGTAGGAAGAAACAAACCTTGACCAGGAGCTCCTTTAAGGTAGCAAAGGACACGAAGAGCAGCATCCATGTGCGCAGGACTCGGAGAGTGAACGAACTGACTGAGAAGATTAACAGCATAAGATATGTCGGGACGGGTGATAGTGAGATACAGAAGGCGCCCAATGAGTCAACGATAGGAACTCACATCACCAAGTCGTTCTGTAGTTGGTCGCGTAAGAGTATGGTTTTGCTCCATCGAGAAACCACTCGGGCGAGACGCTGTGACTCCTGCATCATCGAGAATATCAAGCGTGTACTTACGCTGACTGAGAACAATGCCTTCAGGGGAGCGGGCGACTTCGATGCCAAGAAAGTATTTCAGCGGACCCAAGTCTTTAATACTGAACCGCTGGTTGAGAAATGATTTAACCCGATCGATGGTAATCGTGCTGTCGCCAGTGATAACGACATCATCTACATAGATGAGAACAACCACAAAGACACCACGAGCCTGGTACAGGAAAAGGGAGTGGTCGGCCTTGGACACTTTGAAGCCGAATTCCAAGAGGGCTTCGGTGAACTTTGTGTACCAATTCCGAGACGCCTGCTTTAAACCATACAAGGACTACCGAAGGCGGCAAACACGATTGTCGCCAAGTTGAGCAAAACCCTGAGGAACCTTCATGTAAACCTCTTCTTCGAGATCGCCGTGAAGAAAAGCATTGTTGACGTCCAACTGATGTAGAGGCCAATTACGCTTAGCAGCGACCGCCAACAAAACACGAACAGTGACCAGTTTGGCTACTGGTGCGAAGGTGTCATGGAAGTCTACACCTTCTAGCTGAGTAAATCCCTTGGCCACAAGTCTTGCCTTGTACCTCTCTACTGAACCGTCGGGCAAAAACTTGATCTTGTAAACCCATTTTGAGTCAATGGCCCGCTTCCCAGGAGGAAGATACTCTAATGTCCAGGTACCCTATGCTTCCAGTGCAGTTATCTCTCGTTGCATAGCAGCTCTCCATTCAGCATACTTGGCGGCTTGGGCATAAGTACGAGGCTCGAACATTTGATCCATGACAGCGAAAAAAGCAGTACAATAGTTAGAAAATCGGTGATAATGCATAGAATGAGAAAGCGGGTAGCGAACATTATGGGAACTGGTGTTAGGGAGATGTACCTCATAAGAATCAAGGTAATGAGGAGGGCATCGATCGCGCGTTGGGTTCCGACGTGGGACTATAGGAGGAGTGGCGTCCGACTCTATGGCTGGTACGATGGGCTCGTCGGCAGCATCGTGGACTTGCTCTTCACTCGAAGTGGCATTGTGTGGCTCCGTGAATGATGAACTATCAGAGGAGGAAGGGCTGCTGAGAGGAGAGGCATCCGCGTCTAATAATTCCAAGGAGTCAATAATGGCAGGAGAGGACGAGGGCATGTTCTCATGAGGTGCCAGCACATTTTCAAGATCAACGTCACCTATGGAGTCAGCAGGTTCATCATCATGGTGCACTACATCACCCATTGGTGCATCCACGTCGTGCATGGCTGGAAATGACCCATGCATGTCACGAGGAAGTTGTGAGAGAGAGAGAGTACCACTGCCGGCCGACTTGAGTTGAAAAGGGAAAATGTTTTCCACAAAATGGACATCCCTTGACACAAATATTTTCTTGGTACGAAAATCATAGATGCGATACCCCTTTTGAGTGCCGGGATAGCCGATGAAAACGCCAGCCCTCCCCCTTGTAGCGAACTTATCCAGGCCGTGATGAGTGTCTTTAGCATAGGCGAGACACCCAAAACATCGCAGATGGGAATAAGTTAGCGATCGGCCAAGGAGAATCTCGAAAGGGGTCTTACCCGATAGGACAGGAGTGGGCAAGCGATTGATCAAGTACGTGGCCGTGAGAACACACTCACCCCAAAAACGAACAGGAAGACCGACATGAAACATAAGAGCACGGGCGGTTTCCAGCAAGTGACGGTGTTTTAGTTCAACGACACCATTCTGATGCGGAGTATCCGTGCATGAGGTCTCCAAGAGGATGCCGTTCTCCTCATAATATGCACGGAGAGTAAGGGTCTGAAATTCTGGGCCATTATCGGTCTGAATACGATGAACCTTCCGGTTATACTGAGTACAGGCTAACTGGCAATGCATTTTGATATATCGCTCAACATCAGACTTGAATCTCAACAAATAAATCCAAGTAGAACGACTGTAGTCGTCAACAATAGTCAAAAAATAGCGAGAGCCATCAAAAGCTGGTGTCTTATAGGCACCCCAAATATCCATGTGAAGCATGTCGAAACAACCAGTAGTTTTTATCGAACTAAGAGAGAATGGGAGGCGAGTTTGTTTAGCCTTCAAACAAGAATCACAATGTGAGGAATCCTATGAAGTGACATCACAATCCAAAAACTCTCGTAAACTAGTAAGCTTGTCTAGGGAAGGATGACCAAGCCTGTTGTGCCACAAGCTCGAAGAAATCCCAGACCGCTTCACAGCACACGCATGGAAAACAGAGGGCACACCATAGCGCGGCAAGTAGCATAACCCATCCTTAAGACGACCCACTCCAATAAGCATCCTGGAAGGTAAGACCTGAAGGATGCAGAAGTCATGTACGAAAGTCACAACGACATTATGATCCTGTGCCAGCCTGCTAACTGACAAAAGGTTGCACTGAAAAGCCGGTACATGTAGAACTTTGGAAAGCCGAATAGAACTGGTAAAATTAAGTGATCCCATCCCGCGAACCGGGATACCTGACCCATCAGGAATGTGAACCTGTGACTGATCAAGACCCGTATCCAAAGAATCCAGCCAACTAACGTCACGAACGATGTGTTCATTACACCCAGAGTCAATCAACCACATATCAAGTTCAGAATAGTTACCCGCCATGTGTGCAGTCGGCGTCGATGAGGGCTCGGAGGAAGTAGTGGTCAAGAAATCCCTTAGCTGCTGAAATTGTGCAGCCGACATGCCTGATATGGGAGACGCGACATCGGGCTCGACGTGGGCAGCCTTGGGACGTCATGGACTTGGGTTGGAGCGCTCCTCAGGAGGTTTGGCGCGTGGATGCCTAGGGGGATAGCCCACCAGACGATAGCACTGATCACGCGTGTGTCCTGGTTTGTTGCAATTGGTACAATGGATGCGATCACGTTCCTCCCGCTAG